TTCTTATAATAAAATAAGAACATTTAAATTTACTTCATCATGAATGTTTCATAGCATATTTTTTATGGAAAAAAAATAGTCAAAAATACTTTATGCATAATTAATACATGTTAAAAGGAATTATTATCTTTCAAAATAAACATGTTTGTTGTATCTAAGATTTTGTTATGAATGAATATCGATACTCAATTAAGCAACATGCTAAGAATAATTTCTTAATACACATTCTTGATTTAGAATATTTTTTTATAATACACATTCTTGATTTAGAATATTTATTATAAGTGGATTGTGTTATTTTAAAAAATTTATCTACATTATTAATATTCATTCATTTATAAAATTACTTATGTTTTAAATTTTAAGTTAAATTTAGAGAATTATTGGATATAAAAACAATGATAATGAAAATATTTATTATTTTTTGTAGTTAAAATTTATAATTTTTTGTAGATATAATAATTAACTTTAATATATATATATATATATATATATATTATTGGAAACAATAATAAAATGATAATAAATATATAAATATAAATAATAATATATCATAATAAATATAAAGCAAAAATATATAAATAATTATAATAAATAATAACAAAATTATTTGTAACAAATAATAACTAATGATAATAACATTTATATCTATTCTTTAATAATATTTTTAATTTCTATCAATCAAGAGATACAATTTTTTTCATTGTGATTATAAAATTGAAAAATAAATTGTATGAACTTAAAAAGCAAAGTTTAAATTTGATTTATTAAATAATATATTCTACTTATGGTATACCAATAAAATTTATTTTCTTATAATAAAATAAGAATATTTAAATTTACTTCATCATGAATATTTTATGGCATCATTTTTATGTCGAAAAGTGAAAAATATTTTTTGTAATTAATATATTTTAAGAGCAATTATTATCTTTCAAAATAAACATGTTTATTCTATCTAAGATTGTGTTGTAAATGAGTATCAATAGGAAGAATTTCTAAATACATGACACCTTTCTTAATATTCATTCATATATATTTTATAATTCTTCAAATTTAAATTTAATTATGGAATTATTTTTTTACATGATTGAAATGTCTTAAGGGGGACTTTCTCTTCAAGTGTAATATGCACAAATGGTTAATTATATAAGATTGTATCTAAATTAAAAATAAAAAAAAAACATACTTTGTTTTATATATAGATTTTTTTTGGTGTGTCAATCCAAATTATTTTATTGGTCTTCCAAACTCTTTGATAAAAATATCTATTTGAAATTACTCGGTAATTTCTTGTATCTATATATAAATCCTTCACTTCCATAGCTTTTCCACATTTAATCTTTGCTCCACTCCAAAAAGAAGAAACATTATAGAAATCGAGAAAGTAATTAACGTCATGACTAAATTTGTGTGTGCATTTCTTCTCATCTTTCTTATGGCTTTTGTAACTCAACTTGCTTATGTGAGTCTCTTCTCTCCTACACATGTTTTTTCTTACATCTTTATTATTTACATTTTTTCTTATTTATCTAGATTCATTTGAACAAGCTTAAGATGCTAAGTATATGATAGTTTCAATTGCCTTCTTCAATACTAAAGTTTTTGTTCTTCTACATGTTTAGGCTGGTGGTGAACGATCTCTTACAGTTCAAGGTATTATTTCTATATATTTGAAAATTATCACGCTTAATTAAATTTTAAGTGCTTCATAAATTTGAATAATTTTAATGGTGTGTTTGTTAAAAAATTGTATTTTATATTTGTTTTTTAATTTCAATTTTAATATATTATCATAATGGTTATATGTATTATTTCAGGGTGTCCTGAAGCATGTGACTATCGTTGTTCAAAGACTAGGGTTCGAAAGGCATGTTTGTTTTTTTGTAACATGTGTTGTGAGAAATGTTTATGTGTTCCATCAGGTACATATGGTAACAAGGAAGAATGTCCATGCTATAATAACTGGAAAACTAAGTCAGGAACACCCAAGTGTCCTTAATTGACTTTCAATTTTTATTTTTATTAATTTTAAGTCTATGTTTCACTTATCATCAAGTATATCATATTCATATATACTTGGTACACTTTAAGAAATAAATAAATATGTATGATTTCTTATTTCTCGTACATTTTTTTTAAAGATTTAATCATTTAGAACATCCCTATTTCTGGTGGATTTTCTCAATTAGGACCTCGTAGTGTTTTTTCTCTCAATTAAGTTCCTCACTATGAAAAATTAGATCAATTTAGACCTTGCCATTAATTTGGGTGAACGGCGTTTAAAATTGTTGTACGTGGCAGGGTGAAATTAACAAGTTTTACTAACGTGACAGAGTATGGTGTACTGAGTTGGATAACTTCCATGACATATTAAATTTTATTGAAATAAAATTATTGAATCATTGAAAACGCAACGTTTAAATTAAAAAACATAAAATGAATGAAACACAACGTTTGATTGAGTGAGGACGTTAATTGAGTGATAACTTATTAGAGGAAAGAGAATTTTAATTTCATTGTGGGTGGGTGCAAAATTGGGATTTTGGGCAAAGTAGGGTTTTATCGAGGCAAGAAATTGTTGACTGGGTGCGAAAATTCGTATACGTGGTGAGAAAGTAGGCTTCGTGTGAAGATTTTGGAGTGATCTATCGGTTCTAAATTGGTGAAATCAGTGAAGATTTTGGAGTGATCTATCGGTTCTAAATTGGTGAAATCAGGAAGCTCTTAGCGGTAAATCACGTGGAAGGTGATGACAAATTTATGAACACCGAAAAACGGCGCCACAAACTTGTTTAACCTTCGACAAGTGTGACCGAATCGTATCAAGTAATAAAACTCGGTAAGACCAAGTATCTTTCTCCCAATGGACTCACGTTTTAGTTAGCTATATGATTTGTTGATTATTTAAGACTTGTGAACAATTGATTTTAGGTTTTAAATGCAAAAGACAATAATTAAACATGTATGCATGAATTTGATCAATGGAAAAGAGGAATACAAACACTTTAATGAATTAGATGGATGAGTATGTTGTTGGGGTTATCAATTTCATCTTATCCACTCTCATATACTTTTAGGAATTCATCATTCTATTCATCAATGCTAATGCCACTCTCTAAATCACCTTGCAAGAAGATTCATCCTTAATTACGACTTCATACAATTCCTAGCATCCCTAATAATTAATTCTGAAGCACAGAAGCTTAAAGGCAACCAATATGCTATTGGGAGATTTTCCCCGGATCTAGATTTCCCCGTACGTTCCCATATCGACAAAATCAATAATCATGGCATCGAATGAGTTAAACAATGCATGCTTTGAGCAAAGAGGAAAAACCCTAACTAATGATGAAAGAAAGCATATATCTCAAGTAAGATGTTTAAACACAAATTCCATATATGAGAGTTTCACAAGATTACATTGATTCCCCAACAACAATACAAGGTTTAGTTCACCATATTCATGGTGAAACTAGATGAACAATAATGAAAGAATGAAAGATAGAACCCTAGAAAGAGGAGTAGGTAGCCTGAGCATCCAAGATCTTCCTCCAAGGGGTGGAAAAGAGAGTGTTTGCTTCGTCTCCAGCCAAAGATACAAACCCTAGGACGTCCTAAAGCTTATATACTATTCTAAAA